AGGTTAATGGTAGATTTACCTGTTGTATTGTTGAAAACGTACCTGCTGGATTATTGATAACATTGTGGATTTACCTGTTGGATTTTTAAAAATACTATATATTTAGTATTTTCAGTTATTACTACCAGTTATATTGTTGTTACTTACCAGTAAATTGTTTTATTATTCTGTTCTATTCTTAGTGTCCTTCTGCACAGTTTTTCATGAGCTTATCACGTTTACTGTGTAATTGCAGAGTGCATTTATACACATTGATCTCTGGCGTCTCCCTCCCACCTTACACCTCTGTTTTGCTAAGACAGACAACGGAAGCTGCCCAGGCTGCATTTCCCATGCAATCCAAAGTACAATGTTGGACATGGTTTTTGAGCACCAGCCATAACAAAAAAATCACTTTTCATGGAAGTCCTCCTGACCTTGTTTGTGAGCTGAAACTCTGGATCAGACGTCAATATTTGACATGGCAGGATTACTCGTGGCTCCAAAGCTGTGTAACAGAGGTTCTGCTCTGAGGATTCAACAATTTCACAGAACACTTCAGGTAACTACTTTGGCCTTGCGGTCATGTTCTGCTTTGCTGTAGGTGACCTTTGGAAGTTTAGAGGCTCAAATGCAGCAAGTAAACCACTGGACTGCAGCTGCTTTTGCCAGCAACTTCAACACAACTTGGACAGCACACACCACATTCTGCATGAAACCCTGTTGCCAAGGTGTCGTTGCACAGTGTTAGAACAAGAGTCCAGTGGAAAACTTTCCAAAGAAGGGAAAGCAAGAGTGAATCATTTTGTTCCGTAAGTTCAGCAGCACCTTGAAGACTAACTTTTATTTCAGCACAAGCTTTCATGCGTCAGAGCTCACTTTGTCAGATGCATAGACACAGCATCCACAGCAGAGGTTTAATTTTGCTGCAACGGACTAGCACAGCTAAGGCTCTGGAATTGTTTGTTACAGTTTGTGTGTGTAACAACCGAGTTTGGCCAAATGGTATAGATAGCAGGACACAAAACTCTACCTCATGCAGAACTCCATAACAACCGCCCCCCCCCCCTTTAAAAAAAAAGCAGTCACTGGTGGCTGTAATTAGAGTAAAAACAGCTGGAGGCAAGGCCAAGGAAAGGTGACCAGCAAGGAAAGTCCTTTTCCTCCCTTCTTTTGAATCTCATTGCAGACCACAGTAGCATTTCTTGAAAAAAGCCATCAAGAGAAAGTCAAGCGAAACTCCAGTCATTTGACCCTAAGTTTGACATGAGTGGCTAACAGTTAAATTGGCACATCTGCTTCCTAACTTTAGAGCAAGAGATGCTTTTAAAACTTCGCTTTTTAAAAATGCAAGCGTATTTGAAATCTTCACTTGAAACTGATGGAAGAGTTGCTTGCAACTACCAAGAGAGTCCGAAATTCGATGGACATGTATAGATTAAAATTCTGGCCCTAATAGGAGGACATCCAGTTGTCCCAGGAGAACTCAATCATAAATCAAACGGGGGCAACACGCTGAATAACCAACACTTTTACAAACCTGTTCTGCTGGAAGGATTAACACATCATCTAGGGATATCTTAACATAAGTAGAGCATGCTGGATCACAGCAGCTGTCCATCTAGTCCAGCATCCTATCTCACATGTGCCCAAACCAATTACTCTGGAGAACTAGCAGGGCACAGAGGCCAAGACCTTCATTTTATGGGGAGAAAAAAAAACCACTCTTCTCTACACACACACACACACGTCTTCCCCTCAAATGTGCAACCCTAGCAATTGCATCCTGTTTTGAAAAAAACTGGCAAAAGGATAAGAAAACAGAGAACATGTAGACCCATTCTCAGCAGGGGACATCGTTTATAACCCGCTGGTGGCTCCTTCATTACTAGACTATCGTCTTGCTCAAGAGGTCCAAGATGGCAGCTCACCAAGTTTCTACACTTAATGGAAATTCTCAATTGTTATTTATATAGTTATTGAAAAATTATTCTTTGCCCTTCCCTAAAGGTGGTTGACGGTATAAAATAAAATCAACTTTGCACAGCATACCAAACAACCATAATTAAAAAAAACATTAAACCAGTTCATCCTTCTCATTTCCAAGGCTTATGAGCAATGGTTCTCAAACTTTTAAAAATGGGAACCATTTGTAAGCTAGTAGTGCCATCCTAAGAACACGTGCCTGGGAGTAAGTTAGGGTTGCCAAATGGCACTTACCCTTGTGGCGGGGGACTTCAGCCAGCTCCCGGTGTGTGCGCATGTGCACAAAGCGCGTGCGCGCCGCATGCACGTCACAGGGAAGTGACATCATGACGCCGGGCACGCTGGGGGCGGGGCCACAGCCATTTGAGGGGAAAACTCTATGTTTTCCCACATCTGAGGGGAAAACAGCCATCTGAGGGGAAAACTTTCCTGTGACGTGCATGCGGGGGTGGGGTTTCCCCCGGGGCCCGATTCCGCCGCGGCAGAAATCGGGCCTCCAAAGCGGGGTTTCCCCGCCCCCCGGCCCGATTTGGCAGCCCTCTAGAGTAAGTGCCCGGGTTTCCCCGCCCCCCGGCCCGATTTGTGGCAGCCCTAGAGTAAGTGCCCTTGAATAGACCCAAGCAGGATTCTGACTAGACCTCTTTAGGATTGATCTCATAGACTGCAATCCTAAATATGCTTGCCTGGGAGTGAATCCCACTGAAAATATTGGGACTTACTGCTGTTACTTTGCAAGTAGGTCCTCAAAACAACAATAACTCCATGGTCCTCCCCCAATTTAAAAAAAATGAAGCTCTGATCAGTTAAACATGGAAAATTTTATTATTTTAGTTTTCATGTTTCATTTTTGTAAATATATAGCATTATTGAGTGGTCAGATGCATCAGTAAAGGCCATTTTGCATGGTCTGCAGAGGAAAGCCCAACTTCACCATCGAGCCTCTTTGGCTTTGCACTTCACCCATGAAAGAGTTGTGATCCACTTCTGGGTCCTGGCCCCCGTTTCAGAAAAACAGTTGTGTAAGACCTTTTACTTACCCCCAGCAGACAACAGTAGATTGCACTAACACAGGGGTGGCCAAACTGTGGCTCAGGAGCCACATGCGGCTCTTTTACGCATATTGTGTGGCTTCCAGCAGGGTGGCTGGGGAAGCTAAATGTCATTAGCAAAGAAATATCATTGGACAAATAAATTTCATTATCAATATCTGCTTTTACTGCTTTTGTTATTATTTTTGGCAGTCTCATTTAGTGTTAATAAAAAGCAAATTTGCATATTTCCCAGTAAAAACGTGTAATATTTGTTCATGTCTTGTGGCTCTCAAACATCTGACATTTATTCTATGTGGCTCTTACGTCAAGCAAGTTTGACCACCCCTGCTCTAGCACTCAACATGTATAGAATAGGTGCAATTGGATCTAATATATAGATTACTAGTGTAAAGTTGTCATGCCTTCAGACTCTCAGCAGGGGCCACCCCACTGTGCAAGTCACAGTTAGATTTAATGAAAGAATCTTCCCAAAATTGTAAAGAACATCTGCATGATAGTGTATATTCTCAGCTTTAAAATATGGCCTAGTCCAAAGGTCTCCAACGGAGTGCCCAAGGGCACCTGCCAACACCTTTCCTGGCACCCACCAAGTGCTTTAGAAAGTAGGTGGGGCTCCTTCCCAGGAGGGGTTCTGATTAGCTGTTAGAAAACTGATTATCTACAAATTACAATAACATTGTTTCAGCCACAGCTGTCGCCACAGTGTTAGTTTTATTCTCTCACTCCTTTCCCCCCCAGTATATATTTTTATTCCCTGCACTTGGGCTTCTTGTGTGTCCATGCATGGCTCTTCCTCCCATGGCGGCCATTTCGTGGTTGGATTTGCCTCCTGCAGCAGCTATTTCGTGGTTGCACCCTCCACCACCCTATTTATGTATGTAAATTTCTAGCCCACCCTTTCCTGCACGGCAGGGCTCAGGGTGGGTTACAACAGTAGGTATATTCAATAAATTTAAAACAATTAAAACATAATCTAGACAATATTAAAACCTATACAACACAAGATGGCAATAAAATACAAGTTGACGAGTGTTCCCCAAAACCTTTCAGTATATGTGCCCATAGCTGAAAACCAGATACTAGGCTAAGTGGCAGAAAAGCAGCACCAGCAGCACCAAATACGTAGAGCAAGGCTGGGTAGGAGAGGCCAATACAGTTAGATTTCCGCCACCTCAACTATGTCAGATTTCCAAAAGTGTCCACAGAATCAGAAAGATGTGGTATCTCTGACCATGTCTGTAGGTACAAGTCATGTTGTTTGATAAGTTGTACTCCTCTGATGGTCCCACAAAATTGGATGGGGGGCATCCAATTCTGCTGATGACAAACTCAGACCTGCTGTCCTTGGGTAAAGCTATTTGGTACCCTTTTGCCTTAACAGAGTTGCCACGAACAACCTCAATTTAAGTTGTTTCTGTCAAAGTGATAGTAACTGCCAAGTACCTATTCTCACTTGTTCAACTCTGTTTTTCTGCCATAAACGAAGATCAGAGCCAGCATAGGCTGGAAGACAGAGTATGAAACACATAAGAAAATAAGAAGTACCCTGCTGGGTCAGGCCAGTGGTTTGTCTAGTCCAACATCATCCTTTCATATGGCAGCTGCCTGGAATGCCAATAAATAGGTCATAGAGCCCAAGGCCTTCCACTCCTGTTGCTTCCTATCAGTGGTATTCAGAGGTTTACTGCCTCTAAATATTCCCACTGACTATTCCCTCTAAATATTCCCCTTGTGACTATTGCTAAGTCCACTGGATGGCCCCCTTGTGACTATTGCTAAGTCCACTGGCAACGGATTTCACAATTTGATTACTGATGAAGTACTTCCTTTTGCTGAACACATGAAGCTGCTTTATATTGAATCAGGCCATTAGTCTATCAAGGTCAGTTCTGCCTACTGAGACTGGCAGTTTCTCTCCAATGTCTTAATGAAGAAGTCTTCCACATCACCTGCTACCTGGATCTTCTAACTGGAGGTGCCGGGAATTGAACCTGGGATTTTCTGCCTGCCAAGCAGATGCTCTGTCACTGAGCCACAGTCCCTCTATCCAGAGTTTTGTGCTGTGTGCATGGATGAAAGAAGTCTGGCTCAGGCCAGTACATGTATACTAGTAATAAAACAGCCAAAGTGGTGTCTCCCATCTTCTGGTTCAAGGTCTCTCAAAAAACATATGGTACTGGTAAGAAATTTTAAGTTACTTATATCCCTTGCTAACTCTCAATTCTGGAGAGCCATCCCTGGCAGAGACTGATGCATTTCACAGGGAAAGTTGAAGGGAGGAAGAACAAGGGCTTTTTTCTTTAAGGGTTTGAAGACAAATCCCAATACATATTGATTATAGTTTTACACCCTGCCTTCCTCCCAAGAGTTCAAGGCAGCACACGTGCCTCCCAAGTGGTCTCTTGCCTGCTTAGTTTCAGCAACCAATCCTCCCCTTGTGACTTCAGATTTTTCTCTGGGCTGCCGCTGTTAATTGCTCCCGTTAAATGCTATCAGACGCATTAGAAACATTTAGCACTATTTTATCCGTCAGATGGACATCACATGCCCATTACAGCAGAGTAGAGCCTCTCTGAGAATTCACTATCCTCAATTACAAGTGCAGAAAGTAATAGGCTGTTCATGACACCCTACCAAGTACCTCAGTAATTACTCAAAAGTCCCCTTGAAACTCCACAATTAACAAAAGTTCATTTGAACCAGGATGCCCTGCCGGTGTGATGGCTGGCTTGCGTTTGCCCTTACAGTTTGCTTACCCCAGCAGGCGTCCTTTGTTACCGCTCCACAGGGCAACCCTGGCCTTAGGTGCCTTTTCCCCTTCATTTGCTAAGTCTTGACAATCTCCTCTCTCCCAGTATGTAAAACTAGAGCACCAAAATGCATTCTCTCCAAGTTGGAAGCTAAAAGCCAAGACTAGACTTCAGCTGTGCTCTAATTCCAACATCTCAAAGATCCATCATTATTTTAAAAAGGACTCTGATAGTTACGAGTGCAGGCAGCGGGTGACTTGATCTCTTAATCCAATTCTCCTTTGGTTAAAGTCACTGAGCGGAAGTGTGCGAGACTCTCATCCGTGCAGCAGGTCACAAAGACACATGAACCCGTGCCAGCACAAAGTTACCGCTTCCGGAGACATTTGTGAACAACATGCTGCGCTAAAAGCCATTCAATTCACCGTCTTGGTCCAGAGGCCTCTTGCCAAAGGGCTGCACTTGCTGGCGGACAGAATAGCCACAACAGTTTGGGCGGCTTTCTCCCCAAGGCCGAGGCAAGTGTCCAGCAAAGCACGCGACCGGCTGGTCACAGTGGGGAACGAAGTGATTGTTTCATAGTCCATTCGGGATAAGATCTGCTGAGAGCGCAGGACGTCCAAGATATGGTTCAGGCGCCCTTCCGTCATAAAGCTCAAGATGGATTCTCGCCCACAGGCTAGGATGGCGCAGCAGTTTCCTTTATAGCATGGATCTGTAGCACAGAGGAATATAACATAATGAACTCATACCTTTTCTATGCTTTTGGGATCGCATGCCCACCCCATCCATTTGCAACCCATACCACTTCCTAATTCACATAATTATAATAAAGTGCTACCAAGCTGCAGCTAACATATGGCGATCCCATAGGGTTTTCCAGGCAACAGACAAACAGAAGTAGTTTGCCACTGCCTGTGCGTATAGCAACCCCAGTCCCCCTTGGTGGTCTTCCATCCAAGGACTGACTACAGCCAACCCTGCTTAGCTTCCAACCTCTGACAAGCTTGGGCTAGTCTGAGCTATTCAAGTTGCCACTCTGCATATTGCCCTATAGATAAACTGGTCAATTAGTCTGTGTTTTCTCCCCCACACACACACTGAGGATTTCATTAAGAGGGCACTGGGGCTACTTAGACTTCAATTAAAACAGTGGGGTGTGTGAACAAGAAAATGAAACTGTAAATAATAATTTCAAGGAGGTTTAAATGGCAAAAGCTCTCATTTGAAAAACAGCAGAAATTACATTGTTGATGCAACTACCAAGGCGGAGTAACCAATCTTTTAAATTCATACTCTTAGGAGACCCCGAAGTAGACAAGGCCTCATTGGAATTAGCACTGGGGTGGTCAACAGACAACCCAGATAGTACTGCTGTACAACTGCATCCCTGTGCTGTAACACAATGCTTAATATAATTTCATATTTTTATATTAATTTGAAACAATCACTAAATGCATTTAACACATTTAAAGGGCTATTTAACAACTGAATTCACCAAGTTCCTTACAGGAAGGGTGGGATAAAAATGCGATACAAAAATTGTTTGTTATTTAGAGTGGCTTATCTGACTCCGTCATCTGATCAGTAAAATTTGGAAGCATTAAGTCAGAGCTGGTAGCAGTGAGAAAAATTAGCAGTCAGTTATAACCAGCCATACCACAGAAGTGTGATAATTACTGCTGGGGATGAAAGATCTTTCTCCCCCCCACCCCCACGCTGGAAGAAAAACTCGGGCTTCCTCACTCACTATAGGTGTTAGCTGAACATGATCCCCCACCCCCAGCACTGCTGTTAATTAGTTCTCCTTATCTTCTTCCACACTGCTCTTTCCTTGATTGGATTTGACGGGCTGATTTTGTTTTGACTGGTTATTGTTTCAAACGAGCCTCTCTTTGCAACATCTCCCCACATTGGCTTGTAGTAAGCATAAAGAACTGGTGAAGACACTCGAACGCATCTAATGAAGCGAATTCTGACTCACAAAAAACTTATCGGGCTTTACTGCTAGTTTCAAGATAAAATGTCATTGGTCTTTAAGGAGCCACTGAACTTCAGTGTGATTGCGTCGTTACAGACTAACACGGCGATCCGTCTGGTATCAACATCAGAAGCCGCTTAATCAGTTGTCACAGTTCAGCCCTATGCATGTTTACTTGGGAGTAAGCCCTACTCAGTTCACTCAGGGCTTGTTCCCAGGTCAGCACAGGACTGCGGCTTCAGCTGGTTCCCCAGCTACAACCTGTCGCTGTAAAAATGAAGTGTGTTTGGGACAGTTCCTGTGACTTGGATCGTTCATTCTGAAGGAAGATTCTGAGCCATTACTTGGACATTCTCCTTCCCCCATAAGCGGCATTTATTCCACACATTGCTTCCTTCTCTAGTACAAGCCACAGTAAATCAGTAACAGGTTGCAGTTCAGGACTGATTGCTTTGAAACAAGACTGGCTCTTCTTAATGAATGGCATTTTAAATTCACCTGGGAATGGGCATCCGGGCCACGCATAGGGAAAGTTACTGTGGGAAGGGCTGCGATCAGCTCCCGGCACAGGCAGCGGCTGCTGCCAACCCTCAGATTTTCTGCGCAAGGGAAAGGTGACTTTCTCACTCAGATCTGATGTAAGTAGAGTGGGTAAGGAATGGTGAGGGCCGAATCCTCTGCTGCCACACGCTGGAGGACCTGCAGAACTTAGTTCGAGCGTTGCACTGCAGCAAGAAACCGGAACCAAGGAAGGATCTGCAAACCACACAGAAGCTTCAGTAAATCTAGAGACAGCTTCCTTTAACTGTTATTTATCTGGAACATTTCTGTGCCCTTTTCAGAGTCCTGCTTGGGGTAGCTTACAATTTAAAACACAAGCAGCATACTGCCATTTAAAAAAAAATTTTTTTTGGTTTGTAAGTGCTTCTGGAGAACAAACATATCATTGCTCTTTTATGCTGCATTCAGAATTAATACCAATCTTTTCATAACACCCTATTAAGCCTCTATTAAAGGAACAGGCCCCTTGGGCAATCCCAAGGAGAGTGCCTGAGAAACAAACATTCAGGGGACTAGCTTTGGAGAGGTCTCTACGGCACAAGTCTCAGCTTCTTGCACTTTGAGAAAGACATTCTCCTTTCCCAGGCACATCTTAAAAACAAAGTAAAACGGGAAGTGACTCTTAAGATAACCTTCAAACTTTAGACTTGTTTGTTCAGACTTGTTTTTTATCGTGCTGTAGTGTTAGGAAAACAGGGCTGTGGGATTTCAACCCAACCTAGATTTTGGCTGTACACCTAACATTCTGATTGGATTTATCTACGTTTATGCATATTTCTCTTCCCCCAACAGAGCCGACTAAAGAAGAGCAGGCAGACTTTGGTCAGCCAGGGGAAGGATGCTGGGAGTCAGTAGAACTGCACAGGAGAAATCCTAAAGCAGTGTGTTTTCTGGCTGCTTGCGCAGTGATTTTTGGAAACACATCTAGCTGTAGATCTACCAGTAGGACCGAAGTATAGGAGGCATAAACTCTTCTGATGTTTTCTAGCTGCATTTTGCTATTTTATTTATCTACCTCATTTATACTCTGCCTTTTCCCCCAAAGGAGATCCGAAAGGGCTTTCATCCTTCTCACCTCCATTTTATCCTCACAAACAACCCTGCGAGGGAGGTTAGACTGAGAGTGTGTGACTGGCCCGAGGTCACCCAGCAAGCTTCCATGGCAGCGTGGGGATTTGAACCTGGGTCTCCCAGATCCTAATCCAGTGCTCTAGCCACTACAGTACACTGGCTGTCTTTTGAATGTAGCTATTTTGTTCCACACCAGCAGACAGCTGCTGATCACAGAAGCGGGAGTCACAGAATTTCGAAGGGTAACTGAGTCCCTTTTGTTGCTGTGGATATCTTTCCAATCTTCCCTGCCAGCAGAAGCCGATGGCACAGTCTCCTGACTAACTGTACGTCACAGACACAGAACAGAAGCATGTTTTCCCCCCAGGAACAAGCTGGGACTCCCAGAGCCTGACTCACAAGCCATCAGCACAGCTAATCACGAAGCCAACAGGTACTTTGGCAAGCCATGCTGAAGGATGTTGTTTTGATCCCTCATGGAAGAGTGTAATCTGGACACTGGAATAGAAACACATTACTCCGTGCCTAAAACAGAAGAGCAGAACTCTGTGGGTTACCTCAGCTTACTGAGGAAATATGAATGCAGGAGAGGGGAGCACTTGCAGAGGAGAAATGGAGTGCAGGATGAGTGGGTTCTTAGTCCTTGCCCTCAGAATACCCTCTCCATGCTGTTTTCCCTCCAGCTGTGCTTACTTCTGGTCTGGGAGTCTACTCAAGAGGGAATGGGTTGAAAATGGCTAGAAGGAGGTATATAGGCATTGAAAGAGAATCAGCACATATGAGACGGGTTGAGTCCTCCTCCCCCTTCCCAAATTTTCCCCGAAATGCCACCCCCCTAACACTGGGAGGCAAAACCCCAGGTTTGGAACCCCTTGTAATTTGTTTATTAGTTATTGATATCCCACCTTTCTCCCTGATTGAGGACCCAGAGCGGTTTTTCACATAATTCCTTCCTCCTGTACTTAACCCTCACAACAAACCCCTCATGAGGGTAGAATAGGCCAAGAGTCTGTGACAGGCCCAAAGTCACCTGGCAGGCTTCCATGGCCGAGTGAGGGTTCGAACCTGGTCACCCTTGGTCCTAGTCCAACACTTCAACCACTATGCCACTCCAGCCTTCAATGAACTCAGTAACCCCATTAGATATCCCTGCACACAACATAAATGGTTTGCCTTGTAACATGTGGAACAGAGGAGATGCTAGCCCATGTGCTAAAACAGATCTATCAGTCGTTCAGGAGCCACATGATGCTCACACAGAACTCTTGCCCTCTCCACGGAGGGCATCAGAACCTTTATGCACTCAGAACCAGCTGTGTGAGCATAAGCAGTTCTTGTGCAAAGATCTGAACATGCATAACAGCAGGTTAGCACGACCCTCACCAAAGAGACAGAAGAAATTTTAAAAAACCATTTCAGCATCTCTTGTGAAAAGTTTCTCTAAACTACTGTGCATTATCAAAAGAGGATTCTGTTTAGGTCTGGACGATGACTGTGGGCAGGGGTCATTTCGTAGAAAAAGAGCTAGGGGAACTCATTAGCATAACTCATTAGCATATGCCACACCCCCTGACATCAGGGGCCCGGCGGTGGACCTGCAAGGCCAGCGGGAGTGCGAGGAAGCCCCGCCAAGGCCCTCCCTGGCCCCAGGCAGGCAGGGGTGGGGAGAGGCGGGGGGGGAGCAACTTACCCTCCCCCTCTTCTCCTGCCTCCTCATGGCTGAATGAGGGCTGGAAGCCGGGCGGCCGGAAGCAGGGGGCGGGGCTTCGTCATGTGCCCCCCCCGCACCTCACCCAGGGGAACTGCGTTCCCCCGCGTTCCCCCCCGAAAGAGAATCTGACTGTGGGGAGCATGACTGGCAGGTGGGATATGAACAAAGAGGCCACCGAATCACCTTTGGGAACCAGAGTTTTTGCACAGAGAAGGGTGGGGGAAAGGAGAGTTGTTAATACCTTTTTCCAAGGCTGTATTCGGAGGAGTGTCACTAGCAAACAGTGTCTGCTTTGCTTCTTTTTCTTGCCCGTTTGTGTCACTTTCAAGGTGGATACCAGGCAAGCTCTGTCCTTCTAAAGTAGTCTTTTTGATGGACCTGGTTTTGTACTGGGGACTGACTGCCTGTGATAAAGAGAGAAAGCTACAATTATTTAATATAACAATAGCAGCAATATACTGCCCTGATGAAGCAATACCCTGGATTTTCTGGCAAGGATTCCACTTGCCACCCCACCCCAGTTCCCCTTGATTAAGGAATACATTTAAGTTTGGCAGTTCCATTAAGCTGTTTGTTATTATATCTGGATGGGAAATACACCTTCCCCCCCCCCCGACTCAAACCTTGCATAAGCCATTGACACACACACACACACACATAGTTTTTTTAATTAACTATTTTGGCTTCTGCTTTTTCTGTTTCTTTTTTGCCTTGAATCTGAAAAAAAAAGATGACAAAAATCCCCTTTTTATTCACACACAAGGATGGACTGCCCATAAGAAACCCCAAAATGCTATAAAAATTATGCTGACATCCACACCGCACCCCTCCTATAGAACAGCCACTGATATTTTGGTATTCTTACAGCAAGGTGCATTTGTAAGTACTCCCAGGAAAAACGTGAGAAAGGATTTCTTCCATGTTTGCCAGTAAATATACACTTTGAGGGCTGGCAATACCAGCCTTAGCACAGAGCCGTCCCATCCTCCAGGATAATGTCTCAGATTAACAGAAGGTGCTCACCTCCAAGTTGCGCAAATCAATTTCAAGCCCATGAGAAGCTGGGCTTTTGGCAGCATCTGTTGCACAGTCCTGAAAAAAAGAGAAGCGTAGCATGAAAATTCTGGTCATTAAAGAGTGCAAAGGGGTGGACCAGGGACAAGGCTATCACAGCAAGGAAACAAGTCCACTGCTAGGAAGACTTCATTCTTTCAAGGAATGGGAAGCAGGGAATCTGTTGAAGGATGCTGCAAGGTGTCAGCTAAGCTGCCATGGAGGCTGGGGGGGGGGGTGTCAGTTGTACTCTAATCACCTTTGCATTCCTTCTGTGCTTCTTCGCTGCTGTAACACTTATCTCAAAAGTTCTGCAGGTGGTGGGATGTTGATGTCTAGTTATGAGGGAACCGTGGGAGCGAGCTTGGTTCCCAGCTTCACTGCAAACGTCTGGAGCACCTTCTCCCACGCGCGGGAGTGTGACTAATTGGCCAGGGCAGGGGGGGTGCATACGAATACCCTATATCCTATTATGCCCCAGGGGCAGCCACCATTCTTAACAGTGCCTATGTTAATGCATCTATAGCTCTTCAATGAAGTATTACCTTTCCTGATAAGCGTGTACTACGTTGTTGGCTGTGGATTCTGACACAAGGTAATGAGAACTTTGTAGAGATCTATAACATTCTAAGCGAAAAACAGATAGGGCATGTATAGAGGGAAGAACCCAGAAATTGTGTTCTACTCTTTCTTTTGAATCTCTTGCTCAATCTGGTGGTGTGCTAAAAGTATGCTTGTGAACATTTTCTTTTTAATAAAAATTTTATAACTTTTGATGCTGGTAATGCTTCTCTGCAGCTTCAGTGCATGAGAACCTGAGCCTGGAAAAATATCTGGTTTCTGATGTGTGTACCAAGGCTGAAAAGATGCACCCTTTTGGACAAAATGGCTATTGCATAAATTGGGAGGACTGCCTACAGCACATGGTCCTGATACGTGCAGTTGGTGGGCTCCCAGTACACATGGTTGTGATGACTAGCTCAAGTGCAGCACCAGGGGGCTTTATGGCTAAATGGAAATTTGAACCCAGATCTCCCCAGTCCTTGTTCAATATTTTAACTGCTACACTAGTCTTTGGCTTCAACAGCAACTGGGGGCGGGGGAGAGGAATGAGAGAAACCAAGCAATGTGCTTGGAAATGTGCTTACCAATCAGCCAGCCCATCAGAGGATCACTTCTAGGTGAGTTGGACTAGATGGCCTATATGGCCTCTTCCAACTCTGTGATTCTATGATTGAGAAGTAACTCATAAGAAAATGGGGTGGAAGGTAGGTGGCACAATTGTTTATCACTCTGTCGGCTTTTATATTGCCATAAGCAATGAGAGGTTACATTATGCACCCTTTGGGTTTAGTCCAAGACCATTCTTAGGTAGGACACCTTAGTGAAGCCAAGACATTCAGAGATTTGTATGATGTATCAGTTGCAGATAATTAGCATTCTCCGTTACCCTAAATCAGTGATACTTGCTCAGCGGCTCTGGAGTCACATGTGGCACTTTGATACACCACTTGAGGCTTGTCTGAGCACCATTCCCCAATATGGCACCTTTCCCTGTTTCAGGTAAGTGGGCAAGGCCAGTGTCTGGTGGGGCTCTTGGTTGGTAAGTGGCTTCCACCTTGAAACAGACACCACCAGAAGAACCGCTAAGCTGTGAGGCTCCCTGAGGTGCAGGCCTCATGCTAGGATGGAAGTAAACGTGGCACTTTTGGTTGATGTGACTGCACGTGTGATTCTCTGAGAGCTGTGGAGCAAGTAGCACTGCCCTAAATAATTCTCCTGACTTCCGCCATTGCTAGTACAGCTCCATTTACTGCAGGTTTATCCAAACTCATCCAAATTCTTATCCATCTTTTCTAAGTCCTGAAGGACCCTGAGCTTCTCACTTTCAGTGGGGTTCAGCTGACCCTTACTGACTACGAGTTATGCTGGATCCAGCATTGTTGCTGGAGAAGAAAGTTAATGCAGCTGCATGAGTTATGCTGGATCCAGCATTACTGCTGGAGAAGAAAGTTAATGCAGCTGCAAAAAAAATGCTTTCTTCCATCTTCATTTAGTCTGTAAGATAGCTCTCTGCCTTGACATGGTCAATCTGGCCTCCTGGATAGGTAGCTTGGGCTGGCCCAAGGTCACGCAGCAAGCTTCCAAGGCAGAGTGGGAATTCGAGATCCTAGTCCAGCATTCTGACCACAATATCATCCTGGCTCTTGTGCCACATGAATGCCTCCATATTGATACAGATCAATGGGTCATCTAGCTTGGTACCCTACACTCCAACTGGCTGCAACTCTCCAGACTCACAGAGATCTTTCCCTGATTTCATTTGAACCAGAGATGTCAGGAATTTGGTATCAAAGAGGGATCAAGCGCTTGGTATACCTTTGCAGTATGCTGGTGGTAGGGGGCATGGATCAGCCATACTATGCAGCACACTGCAACGCTCATCCTAATCCATACAAGCTAGGTCCAGTCATTGGTAAGGTTTACCCTGGTGTTTAGTAACCAAGCCTTTTATGATGGTGTTGAAGCAGGCAGCCCAAAAGGCAAGGCACTAACCACTGCATGGGATACTATTCAGTGTCACTCACCTTGGCATGAATCAAATTGTAAATTGCATCAGAAATTGTCTCCTTCCTAAACATACCAAGAACATCCTGTAGCAGCACCATGCAATCTGTAGAAGGGGGGAAATGCACACATTATTTGTGTGGGTATGTTCAGGTGTTTGCACTTGTGTCTGTGCAGCCAGTGTCCCTGTGTTATTAGATGCCATGCATACCCACATACACCATACTAGCTTTCAGAGCATGGTTCCCCCTCAACGTGGTGCCCCATGGTACCCGCCAACACCTCTCCTGTGCTCTGCCAAGTGTTCTTAGCAAGTGGGCAGGATCAGGTGGGGCTTTTGTCCAGCAGGGCTTCTGACTGGCTGCACAGATACTTCAAAGGTTGCTTCTGCAACAGCTGCCTCCACAGCCCACGAATCTTCACTATGCTACCATCTGTATGCATGCAAGAAAATATTTTTAATGAGGGTATGCTGTTAAGCAGAGGCTCTGGCTGAAATGCTGAAGAGTTACTATTAGTGTTATACATAACCTCACCCCCTGACATTTTGCAGTTGGCTCTGCCTTCTATGGCAGCCATTTTGTAGTTGCACCCACCACCCTGAATCAGAATTCCTAAGGTACCTGCAGGCTTGAAAAGATTCGGAACCCCTGTTTTTGAGTCTGATGTTGCCTTCAGCTGTACCTAAAAACAACACAGAACCTTGGAGCACCTTAAAGACTAATAAACTTACGGCAGCACCGGGTTTTACAAGCCATGCATCTTCATCTCCTTGGATGCCGTAGCCTCCAAGGTGACCCCAACAGTCCAGATTTCCCTGCACATGCTTCATCCTGACAGTAACTTATGGCAGCACCAGGTTTTACAAGCCATGCATCTTCATCTCCTTGGATGCCGTAGCCTCCAAGGTGACCCCAACAGTCCAGATTTCCCTGCACATGCTTCATCCTGACAGTTCTTACATACCTTGCAACTGGTGGACCTGCTGGAAGGTCCAGGTGCAATGTCCCTGCCTCAGCCTCCAGACTTTGTGGCAAGAGAGACTAGATAGCTAGATGGAGGCACACTGACCATTTTTTCTGTGTTTACTCTTCTGCCCCTTTGAAATGCAGATTGTGTTCAGGGACAATTTCCTTCCTTCCGTTCTCTCAGTTGAAGACAAACTCTCTCCCTGCACACACCAAGAGAGACAACATGCTGTGCTCTCTTGGAACCATTAGGCAGATGACCCTCTTGCCACCTGCTTCCGTCCTTTAGCTAGTAAGTTAGTACTCTATCCTGTCTCTACTCTTTCCTATCAAAAGTGTACTTCTCAAATAAAGAGTATTTCTTTTCTAAGCTTGCAAAGTGGCTCTGTGCAGCTTTGTAAGATGAGTACTCTGCTAACTAGTGGGAACTGGACACCAGTTAACCCCAATAGGACCTCCCTGAGAGCTTGGTATCCTAAGATATGATGTGTAAACATGGAACCAGGAACCATCCATATAATGTGCAAGGGCCCTTTACCAGCTTGGGAGCCAGAAGAGAGGTAGTGGCGCGAGCACATGGGTCTGAGGGGCCTGAGAGAAACTGATGGAGGAGGAAGGTCTAGGCTACTGCACTGGGTCCAAGCAATTCATTTATTTCAACTAGACACAGTCTTAAGACCCTCTGCACTGGTAAGATCAGGGCTCCCAATTTGTGGAATGGCCTTCTTGAAAATGACAAGAAGGCCCCTACGCTTCTGTCATTCTGCAAACTACGTAGAACAGAATTGTTCAGGAGGGCATTTTTATAAAGTGAATAAGGCTACAGGACAATGGAACAGGTCAAGAAGGGGCTTTTATAGTCAGGACTGTAGAATATGCCATGGTTTGAAGATGGGGATTGTCTGCTTATTGCATGTGCTACCCAAGTCTTGCTACACTGTTTTAGACTTCTTTAATTCCATACTCCATTTTGTTTTGTCACATGATGTCTGGTATATTTTGGCATTGTTTGTAATTTTTTATTCCTAACCCTACTGCATTGCATATTAGGTGTTTCATGCTATCTGCATTGCCTTTCACTGCATAATTCCACCTTGCATCTCGGTGCCAAAGGCAGGCTATAAATAAAGTAAATATGAAGCATTCCGGCTGCCTTTTTTTTGCTGTTAAGTCTGACTTATGGCAACCCCCTAGAGTTTTCAAGGCAAGAGACCTTCAGAAGTGATTTGCCATTGCTTGCCTCTGCATCACATCCCTGGTATTCCTTGTAGGTCTCCCATCCAAATACCATCCAAATACTAGCCAGGGCCAAACTTGCTTCTTGCCTGGGCTATCCTGGGCTATCCAGGTCAGGGTTTCCAATTGCCCTACAAGCACCAAAACTGTGACATTGCACTAGCATTTCAGAGACTCCATGCATGAAGACACAAATAACTGGAGCACCAGTCACAGATGGGCAGCCAATCAAAATGACACATGGGTGTGCTCTTCTCTGCATCTGCAAATGCCAAAAGGGCTTGTATAAAATCCAAATACTTTGGCAAGGCCAAGCCAACATACCTGCAGCACGCGGCCTGTAATGGGGTTCCTGGTGCCAGCACAGAGCAACCATCTGCAGCAGTTTGTTTCGATGAGGCAGGCCACTGGAAATAAACGCTGGTTCAACACCAGGGCGCATTCCCCTGCAGATGCCAGTCACAGCTTCAAGCAAGGTCTTCTTGCCTGAGGCACGCAAAAGAAATGTTTCTTTACAGAAGCTGTGGATGTGGGCCTTGCTGCTATCTAGGGTTTATACTGGCAACATTCCTAAGCAGAGTATACCCTTTCCAGTCAATGGATTCAAGGCACTGTCAGTGACTTTCACATGTGATTATGTAGACAATGCAATTATATAGACAAACATGAACACAAGAGGGCAGTATAAGATTGAAAACAGCCTTTTCTCTCTCTCCAGCCTTTTCTCTCTGCTGAAGTCTTTTGGCTCTAAAAAGAAGGACACTAAGCCCAAACTACCTGCAGAATACTGGCTGGAGTTTTGTAACGGGAATGCTGAAGTCTTTTGGCTCTAAAAAGAAGCAGCTGGGAAAGTTGCCAAATCCAGCCAGGGAAATTCCTGGAGATTTGGGAGTGGTACCTGTGGAGGGGGAATTCAGTGAGGAATTTTACCTAGAATCCATGGCATACCATAGAATCTGCCCTCTGAAGCTGCTGTTTTCTCCAGTAGAACTGATCTCTGTCGTCTAATTCTAGGAGAACTCGAGCCCCACCTGGAGGCTGGTAACCCCAGCAAGCTAGGGATATTTGATCAGGACAGTGGCACTTGATGGCGAAGGGGAAAGAATTTGTTTCTTTTACTCTGCATCATTTCCCCTCCTCCCTGGCAGATATTAATCAGTAGGGAAAACAGGACCAGTACCTTATATTGTGCCTGTAATGGCCAATGGCTTAATACAATAAATTTACTTGTACTTATATTGCACCTTTCTTTCCCTCTACTGGGCCTTACAGTAACCCAAATAGCATTTCCAAACAATGGGGAAACAGCACAATACGGGGAGGTTTAAATCCTCCTTCAATGGTGCAGCTCTGACCAAGTACTGGGGGGTAAAGTGCCATCCAGGTTGTGCAAGGTCTGAAGAAAGGGCTGTTCTGTAAAGAGTGCTACAGTCGTTTATGGTCTGAGCACCTCAGAAGGCACGGGCACCTGCCCAATCCACCAGAGCACGAGATTAAAGCGCAAGTGGAATGTTCAGGGAGCTAAGCCCAAGAACAGGTTTAGCAATCCGGGAGCCACCCACCCTGATCCCAGATAATGACCTGGAAGATTGTTCTCCCAGAAAGGGGGCAAGGAGCCAAGGAAGCAAGACTGTACAACCTCAAGAACCTGACTTGGATGCCCCGGGCTAGCCCGATTACATCAGAACTCAGAGGCTAAGCAGGGTCAGCCCCGGTTCATACCTGGACGGGGGACCACTGAGGAAGTAAAGGGTTGCTATGCAGAGGCAAGCACTGGCAAGCCACCTCTGAACAAAACCCTATGGGGTCACTACAAGCCAGCTGCTACCTGATGGTGCTTTCCACCAAAAAGAAAGCTTTGGACGTAACAGGAAGCTCTGACGACCCCCTACATTGGAACTGGAAGGGGATGCAACCACATCACTTACATGGCCACACACAAACTTCACAGTGGAGCCAGTGGTGGCTCCATGTGGGCTTGAGGACTCAAAAACACAGGGGTGGGTGGGGGGCTGCAGCCATTTCTCCCTGTGTGCTGTTGTCCCAAACAGAAAAGAACTGGAGTGGGTCTCATCGCACATGTGATACAAAGTCCTTGTTGTGTTCTCCAACAGACATGAAGAGGGTCAGGTAGCTCCTCCTAGCTTCAAGACCACAGCTGGACACTCTCAGCAGCTTAAACATTTTGCAATGGTGCCTGTTCAACCGTTAAGTCAGTTTCAAAGCCATTCAGGTCTGGTGTGTAGAGGCGGGAGATCACAGTACAGGCAGCAGCTGTCCACGTGTAGCTTTTCTTTTCAGCCTCTGTCAGGCCTGATTTTCCATGTACCTCTGGCAGTGGTCTTGAGTGCTGTCTGTATGTATATGAGAACAAGGGCCTACCAGATAAATAGCTTCCATATCCCCTGAAACACACAGCTTTGTAAAATGCATTTCAGCTGTCAGCCATTCAGTGAGATTATAGGCCTGGCTTGAGTTTTGGAGGCACAGGAAGGTTTACCCAGGACTCCAGATTTGGAAACAGGCAATGGCTCACGCCTAAAGAGGAGGAGATTGCAAAGCACATTATATGGAATTAAGTCCCAGCTGTTTCAGTGTTAAGACTGGGAGCCACCCACCCTGATCCCAGATAATAACCTGGAAGATTGTTCTCCCAGAAAGGAGGCAAGGAGCCAAGGAAGCAAGACAGTACAACCATACAACCTCAAGAACCTGACTTGGATGCCCCGGGCTAGCCCGATTACATCAGAACTCAGAGGCTAAGCAGGGTCAGCCCCGGTTCATACCTGGACGGGGGACCACTGAGGAAGAAAAGGGTTGCTATGCAGAGGCAAGCACTGGCAAGCCACCTCTGAACAAAACCCTATGGGGTCACTACAAGCCAGCTGCTACCTGATGGTGCTTTCCACCAAAAAGAAAGCTTTGGACGTAACAGGAAGCTCTGACGACCCCCTACATTGGAACTGGAAGGGGATGCAACCACATCGCTTACATGGCCACACACAAACTTCACAGTGGAGCCAGTGGTGGCTCCATGTGGGCTTGAGGACTCAAAAACACAGGGGTGGGTGGGGGGCTGCAGCCATTTCTCCCTGTGTGCTGTTGTCCCAAACAGAAAAGAACTGGAGTGGGTCTCATCGCACATGTGATACAAAGTCCTTGTTGTGTTCTCCAACAGACATGAAGAGGGTCAGGTAGCTCCTCCTAGCTTCAAGACCCCAGCTGGACACTCTCAGCAGCGTAAACATTTTGCAATGGTGCCTGTGCAACCGTTAAGTCAGTTTCAAAGCCATTCAGGTCTGGTGTGTAGAGGCGGGAGATCACAGTACAGGCAGCAGCTGTCCACGTGTAGCTTTTCTTTTCAGCCTCTGTCAGGCCTGATTTTCCATGTACCTCTGGCAGTGGTCTTGAGTGCTGTCTGTATGTATATGAGAACAAGGGCCTACCAGATAAATAGCTTCCATATCCCCTGAAACACACAGCTTTGTAAAATGCATTTCAGCTGTCAGCCATTCAGTGAGATTATAGGCCTGGCTTGAGTTTTGGAGGCACAGGAAGGTTTACCCAGGACTCCAGATTTGGAAACAGGCAATGGCTCACGCCTAAAGAGGAGGAGATTGCAAAGCACATTATATGAAATTAAGTCCCAGCTGTTTCAGTGTTAAGACTGGGAAGAAACAATGGATTCAAGCAATACTGTCAAAATCCTGGATTGTATTGTATTTATTTAGCTATTTACACCCCATTTTTCTTCTCAGTAGGGACCCGAAGCAGTTCACGGTTCTCTCCCTCCTCCTTTTTTATGCTCACAACGGCCCTGTGAGGTAGGTTAGACTGTGAGAGAATGACTGCCCCAAGGTCACTCAGCAGAATGGCAAGGGATTTGACCCTCGGTCTGTCAGATCTTAGTCTAACCATGACTCCACGCTGGCCCTTCTGACTCTCTTCTGCTAAACTGTAGAAACCCTGCCCACTATCAGGAATAAATCTCTGTTCTCTTCTATCCTGGCATTCTAATCACCTTGTTACTAAACCTATCAATCCTGCGGGTTGATACACATGACTTGTGGATTTAGAGATCTGCTTAGCTAGGATTACACCTGAAATCTTGTGGCCAGTAAAATGCTTTGAAAGTTTATGTGCATTAGTGGATTTCGCCTCATTTCATTACTCAGCACTGGATGGCTGGCAGCGGAACGGCACGAACTGACAATGTTGCAAAGCTCTGTGTTTTCGGGGATATAGAAATTATTTATCTGTAAGGCCCATTCTCCTACATGCCAAAAGCACTCAAGACCGCTATACATGGAAAATCAGGGCTCACCAAAAGAGGTTCAAAACAAAAGCTGTGTGTGGGCAGCACCTGTCAGCTACTACCTCTGGTGGCAGAAAAGTGCTTTCAAGTCACAGGCAACCTTTGGCAACCCTGAAGGATTTTCAGCTGAAGAGACAAACAGAGGTGGCTTGCCATTGCCTGCCCCTGTGTAGCAACCCTCGACTTCCCTGGTGGTTTTTCATCCCACCACTAATCAGGGTCAACCCCTGCTTAGCGTCTGCGTTCTGACAAGATGGAACTATGTTTATGTTTATTTGGATTTATATCCCGCCCTCCCCTTGACAGTCTCAGGGCGGGTTCCAACAACATAAATACAGTACAACAATATAAAATTCAATACAATTAAACCACATTCAAACATATAAAACATACAACTAGCCTGGGATATCTGGGTTATGGCATTGCCTCCACACACCACACTTGAATGGATCTGATTTATCAAGGCTTCCTCAATTGAATTCTGGCAACTGTCGTTTTTGGATAGAGTTTACGTTTTTACCAATTGGGGGAAAGAGGGAGATGCCTTCTGGACTGTCTATCACAGGTACCGAGTATCGATGCCTGACCTCCTTGGCGAGGACACTGAATAATTAAATGGGTTTGAGGAAAGCTTGGCATGGGTCTCCCAATATATAACCTGGTCCCATTTTCCTCCCTCCGCTTACCTTTTTCTGTTACTTCCTCTACATTAGGCAAGGCAGTTGGACTGCCATGGAAGGAAGTTTGGGTGCACAGTAATTCCCTTCCCCTTCAGTTTACATAAGGCTGGGCAGTGAACCTTGCCTGCATTCACAGATGACTGCAAGGGCTAGCAGCACTGGATACACACACACACACCGGTGTTTTCTACCCTTTCCATTCTTCCAGTTTTCAGACACAGGATGTCAAGATCCTATAGCATGAATTAACATTCCATTTACCTCCGTTCTATAAAGTATATATTTAGAGAATAGCTTTCTTGCTCTAATTCACACCCTAAGCTATTTTTCTAGATTCACCTTGTGCTCATTGGATTGGAGCTGAAGGTCAGTTTCCAAACTACACTTTCTATTAAAGATTACTATAGGAATGCTATCTTGCCATTTCTTATTCCATCTGATCCCTTGCTAATGGTTGCAACTGTAGAACCTGCAGGGTAGTGTCTACAACAATTGTTCTGTCCACTGGTGTGACAACACTCAAATTTGGAAGACAGTGAGCTACATGTTTTAAGCTGGAGTTCGATAACACTGAAAGCAGCTGTCGTTCTCCGGGAATCTGCTGCAAGGTTAATGGTTGTGCTGCCACCTTCAGAAGCCTGCTAGCTTCCAGTATGTATATCTGTACATGAACAAATATAAGGCATCCTAACTCTCCAATGATCTCTATCATGTCAATGCAAGACAACAGATCTTTTAAAGAAGGGTCACCCCTGGATACTACGTAGGGAAGATGAACTGCCCCCTCTTTTCCCCCCCTTAAATGGTGGTACCATAGCCTCTATCTGTTTATGAACTGATCTGTTAAGCTCTGTCTTGGTCCTTGAATGCTTCTCTTCAGAGCAGGTGAAGTAGACTAATAGAATTCAGAGGTAAATATATATATAAAAGAGTTAGTTCAGCCAGTTACAGGGGGGGAAAGTAGGCTAAAGGTTGAGTGTGGCCTTCTTATCTTGCTTTACCAGATGTATCTCATATGTACCTGCAGATTAGCTCATATGTTGCTTATCTAATTAAGAACCAATCAGTTATCTAGATAATATTGCATGATTATGTTAGCTAAGCTTTCATGTTGCTTATCTTTTATTAATTATGAACCAGTTATTTAAATAATATCACAATTATAATAGACAAGGTTTAGAGATAAAATGAGAACTGATACACACTCTTGTGATAAGCTAATCACCATCTGCACTTAATTGCACTTTGTATTTTAGCATTTACTTTCCCGTTAATTGTAGGGGTAGCCTTTTCGTGCTTGTATTATGTTCTGTCTAGCTCACTGTTAGACTCTTGAGCAAAGTTACTCACAACAACACTCTCTGCAGAGGTATGTTGATTGAGTAGTAAAGATGATTCAAGCTAAGACGTCTTCGTGTCAGAACTAAAGATCTGGCACCAATGCCCAAAGATATACAGAGTTCAAACCAGCCCCCCTCCAGTGTCCCATCCAATCAGTCCAAGCATTTGGCCCGCCAAGCTTTCACCCTCTTCTACTCCCCCCCACCTGTGAGGCATGTTAGGTTATCTATGTTAGTGGAGCAAGCAGAGACAGCATCCAAGGTCATTTGTCCAGCCTTCTCAGAGACAGGGAGGCATCTTGAAAAAGAGTTATGCAGCTGCATAGCAAAGCATCCCCAGCCACACACACACACACACAAACACAGAAGCCCCTCCCCTTCCCAGTCATCTACAGCAATATTAAAAAAAAGAATTCAGAGGTCACTGCAAAGCATAACATCTATGGAAATTTCACAGAGTGTCGTTCTCCAACAAGAAGTCCAATAAGATGCACCATACCAGTGCCTCTGTGGAAATGCATAGCGGACCCGTTCACCCCAAAACTGAGCAATAACAGGACATGTTTGAAAAAGAGCAGGAACATTTCAAAAGATGCTCCTTCTGGTCCTACAGGCATGATTATATTCAGGAAAGCACCAAGCCAGATAGGCACAAGAACAGAAGCACAGGAATAAAATAAAAGCTCCATGGGGGGGGGGGGACCATCAGGGAAGGGTCAGACGAGGCACACAGATGCCTACCTTCCAATGGCTTCTGTCTGCTTAGGGTTTCCCAGCACATCATTCCAAAGCTAAGCATAAATATCAGGAGAAAAGCATACATTACTTTGGGGGTCTCTGTTATCTCAACTAGCAAATTCACGAGTCTCAGACATTAGTGCCATGATCCATCTATATTTCTTGTTATAAACTTCTATTCTGGTAGAGACACATGGCAAGCTGTGCTCTTGCTCTCGTTAGGCAAACAGCTTGGGACAGATGGTGGGGAAGACGTAGCCCCCCCCCTTCCCAGCACACAGCAAAGTCACATCCATTATTCAGCTGTAATCTTCCAACATCTGGCTTGATCCTCAAAGGCCAGATGTTGAGTAAGTTGCCCTAGAACTTGGTGAACTGCTGCTGCTAGCAGGAGTAGGAGAGAAGCTGTAGCTCGCTGACAAAGCATCTGCTTGGCATGCAAAGTTCTATTCTGGTAGAGACACATGGCAAGCTGTGCTCTTGCTCTCGTTAGGCAAACAGCTTGGGACAGTTGGTGGGGAAGACGTAGCCCACCCCCCTTCCCAGCACACAGCCAAGCCACATCCATTGTTCAGCTTGATCCTCAAAGGCCAGATGTTGAGTAAGTTGCCCTAGAACTTGGTGAACTGCTGCTGCTAGTAGGAGTAGGAGAGAAGCTGTGGCTCACTGACAAAGCATCTGCTTGGCATGCAAAGGGCCGCGTCCCGGGCATTGTTTCCTCTAAGCTGAATTAGTGTGAGCTACCTCACAGCTTTTTAGCCTCCAGCTCATGCATTTTTGTCTTGACTCAAGAAGGATGGCTCCAAAACAAACTTATTAAGCAGCCAAACGGCTCGCTCACAACTTTAGTGCCAGTAGTTCACGAAGTAGAATTTTTGCTCACAAGACTCCACAGCTAAGATGAAGCATTACTTGCAGATTCAATCCCAGGCATCTCCAGTTAAAAAAGGACCAGGTAGAAGGTGATGCAAAAGACCTCTGCCTGAGACCCTGGAGAGCTGCTGCCAGTCTGAACTGCCAGTATTGACTTTGATGGACCAACTGTCCGATTTAGTATAAGGAAGCTTCATGCAGATGTGTTCATATGACAATAAATATCCCAGCAGTCTGCCCTACTGTAAATCAGCTTCACATATAGACAAGAGGGCAACGCTAAAGCACTGTTCAAGCTTTGAAGTTTCAAGTGATGAAGTTCTGCTTTTAAACAAAAGACAACCCAGCTCACCTGTAAATATCACCTTCTCGTGAGAAACTGCCTCCCTGGACAATTTCAGGGGACAGGTAGAGCAAATCCCAACAGCTTCTGTTGTCGCAGTTCTGTAGGACGGATCTTAACTGCTGCCTTCTCCAGGTTGGGAGGCTGTAATCTGATATCTAGAATCAAGGAAGGAAGGAATCACTTTAAGGAGTCAGGTATACCACTGGCAAAGCTCAACCAGATCTTCTGTGTAATACTAGTTACATCACCTTCGTCTCAGAATTTGCTTTCTTTTGAATGCATTTTATTGTAAGCTACAAGGAAATGGGGGTCTGACCTGGACACAATCAGTTTTCCAGTGAGCACAATCAGTTTTCCGGTGAGGGGGAAGTTCGTCTGCTTCACCCTCCTCAAACACCTTGGCTAAGTCTCTATATTCTGGGGGGATGAGGTTCAGCTCCTCTTGGGCCAGGCACACCCGCTTGGGCTCCGACCATGGCACCTCCCCCTATTCTGGGTTCCAGTTATGCTCCTTGCAGCAGGGGTCCAGAAACCGCAGGGCCCCCACACTCCACTGCCCGTAGGGATCGTGGTCTCTGAGCCAAGGTCAGACTCTTGTGCAAACTTCAGTCTCAACAATACTCTTTTCAGTGATTTGTTTATCGAGATATAAAGATACTGCAAGCTAAGGCATTCTTGTGTCAGAACGGCCGAAAAAGGCACCAACAAGAAAGTTATACCCCATTCAAATAGCTGCCCCCCCCAAGCTTGGCCAATCACACAATTCATTCAGCCTGCCAAAATGAGCACACGTTCACATCCCCCCACCACCACCTGTGAACCTACAATCCTTATCTAAGACAGGCTAGCGAGCAAAGACAGACACCAAGGTCATTCAGCCTCTTCCCATCGCAGGGGGGGCATCCTTAGAGAAACAGTTACCAAGCAACAAAGCGAAGCAGGCACACACAGTCACACAACTCCCCCCCCCGCAACATCCCAAATACAGAACGGTGCAGGAAAATGAAGACAGAACACAAGATCCCATGGCAAACAAGGCCCCGCGTTTGACACAGGCTAGCTCAGTCTTGTTAGATCTTGGAAATTAAGCAGGGTCAGCTCTGGTTAGTACTTGGGTGGAAGATGACCAAGGAAGTCCAGGGTTGCTACAGAGAGGCAGGCAATGGCAAACCACCTCTGTTGGTTTCTTGCCTTGGAAAGCACATGAGAGGTTGCTGTAAGTCAGCTCCAACTGGATGGCCCATTCTACCACCAGGAGGAATGGGAGGGGCCCACCTTAGCTCTGTAATCAAGATCTAGGAGGACATTGGAAGGTTTCAGGCTGTGGTGAAGGATGGGAGGCTCCAAACTGTGTAGATGGCTGAGGCCTTCGGCCACATCTGTCAGGATCCTTACGCACAGAGGAAGAGGCAAATCCGGATAGAGTTCATGCTTCAAAACAAACAAACACACACATTCACTTTGGTATTAAAACTCAAACTCTGCTCTGTGTTCCTAGCTTGCCTTGTTCCAAAAGTTTTAATTATGTCATCAGAAAAAAACAACCACACACAATGTAAAAATATTAAATGTAATACTTTGGATGGAAAATGTTTGGCTGTATACAATATAGTTCTGTTCAGTTACCTTTACTGGCACTGACATTAAAAGGAATAGTATAGAGAAAATAAAACAGAAACAAATACCAACCAAAAAAGAAAAGTGTCCTAAATAGTCTAAAATCCATGTAAAATAGGTCTCAATTTCATATCTCCCAAATACAAGTTTTGCATTACAATACTACCAGCAAAGGTGTCATATATATACAATATATTTCACCTTCCTGACTGGAAAAAAATCATCAACAGGTCCCACCGCCTCAATTATTTGCATAAGAAAAAGAGACAGATCTCTCTCTTGCATACCTCATGGATGAGGGAATGGAGTGATCCGTTGTGCATCCATTCAGTAACAACCCCGAGGAGTCCTTGGAACTGGTAGATGCCAATGGGAGGCATGAGCCTTTCACAATGAACATGTCGGATGCCAGCTACATCTTCGAGCAGTGCCTTCAAGTCTCTGCCAACACATTAAGAGTTATAGGTAGTGATTTCACAAGTCCATTTCAAATGAAGTAAGACTGAGACCACAGAAAGGAAAAGCGCAAGAGAATTGTGATCCTCTACCGATAGGATTGTTGCAGGTTCACTCGATCACTTTCCTCCACGGCTGAGCTCAACTCTTTTCATTTGCACAATGCAGTGGTGAGTAACTTCTCTTGGACTCTGAGGTCATGCGTGAATGGCTGACAAGGCCAGTATCAAATTGTAGCAATGGTGGTAGAGTATCTGCTTGCTACACAGAAGGCCCCGGTTCAATCCCCGGCATTTCCAGTTAAAAGGATCAGGTAAAGTCCTTGATCTGAGACCCTGGAGAGCCATTGCTGGTTTTAATAGCCAATACTGACCTTTATGGACCAGTGTCTGATTCAGTACTTTCATGTGTTCAGGGGGGGAAGCCCACCATTGTAAGACCACCACTCTCTAGACTTTCACACAAGGCAACTTGAAAGGCAGAATGTGAGGATTCTTGGGTTGCCCTACTTCCTTCTTCCAATTTCTGGGGAATACTGTGGGGTGCCTTGTCTGAGGAACCCCACACAATATCCTAGAGCTTTTTCAGAAGACTAAAAGGATTCTACATGGAAAATTTTCCTTTTTGTTCTGTAAAGGATTTACAGGTGAAAGGATTCTACATGGAAAATTTTCCTCCTTTTTGTTCTGTAAAGGATTTACAGGGTAAAATCCACAATTCAGTTTACAGAGTTTCAAACTCTAGTTCTTATTGCTCTCAAAATAGGTGCCATTTTTATGGCCTTTTGGTTACCACCCGTTTAACCACAGAGACAAGTCTAAAAACTTTAGTGGCCTATTTCTCTTTTCTAACGCAACTTAATCTCCAAGTTTGAATCTCTGGGTCTGATGTAGCTTCCATGAAGTCTTCACACTAGCACACTCACGATTCTGAACTGTTGTTTGGAGAAAGGGATAATTGACCAATTTTCAAGTTATTTTTAACCTAAAATTGTTGTGAGCCACCTTGTTGGCTGATACTCAGGCAAAAAGATCAGTTAAAAAAAGAAAGAAACAAAACTCAAATTGGGTAACAAAAACAATGCCAAAACAGAAACTTTGTATTTGAGACAAGGTCACTCTACCAAGTATGTAACAACCTCCATATTGAGAGCCAGGCAGCAGACCCCGGAACATCAATGCTAGGAGGCAACATCAGGGGAAGGCTTTGTCCGCTGTGCTTTTTCTGTTGGACCTCCAGGGCAACTGGTTGGCCACTGCAGGAATCAGGATGCTGGACTAAAGGGACCACTGGTCTGATTCAAAGGGGTTGTTCTTATGTTACGTTCATCCTACATATTTTGTTCACATGATTCAAACAGTCTCCAAAATAGTCCTTTTGGTTGTTTAAAGGGGCCTGCCTTCCTCTTCCATCAGCAGAAATGCCTTTAGAATCCAACCTGGAATTATTTTTTTAAAGGAGGCATTATTGTTCAGTGGTAATGTTTGATGTACAAAAAGCTGCAGGTTCAGTTCCTAATATCACCGCTTAGGAACCTTAGAAGGCCTGGCAAGGAAAGACCATTTGCTACTCAAGACCTGCTCAACTCTCTGCTCAAGGCCTGGAAAGCCATTAGTTGCCAGCCAGCGTAGACTACTCTGGGCCCAATGGACAAACAGTCCATCTCAATACAATGCAGGTTGATATCTTAAATACCCAAAGCTGCTAACAGTTCACCTGTACGTCTGCTAAACCTCATCCCTAGAGTTGCAAGGTCCCTACTGGCAACTGGCAGGGGATGGGGAGACTTACCAGGAGAGGGAGGGAGGCACAGGCTATGTTGCTGGCAATGTGGTGACATCACTTCCAGCATGTACCGGAAGTGATATCATCACACTGGGATGTCTTGGCAATGCTCTGGCATTTGGGCAAAACCTCTATGGTAAAAATGGCTTCTACCCTACCCAAGAGTTTTTGTCCAAATACCAGAGTGTCACCCAGACATCGCTGCCTCAATGACATCACCTCTGGTACACACTGGAAGTGATGTCACCGCATTGCCAGCAGCATAGCTTGGGTCTTCTTCCTGCTCCTAGTACGTGCCCCCACTGGTCAGCTGATCAGCAGTGGGGGTGGGTGGGGCTTGCGGGCAGGAGATCCCCTGACTCCAGCGGGGGACTGTCAACCCTATTTATAAGACTGTTCCATATCCAGCTGTACCCTTTCATTCTCCCCACAGCCTCACTTACAGAGGAAGAGACGGAAGGAGCAAGAGGAAGAACATCTTTCCTGAGGTCTGCTTTTCCCCTTCCTGTCTCAAGTACTTCATAAAGCTACTGCATGGCCAGAGGCGTGAGTCCTTGGGCAAGAGCCAACGGGGTCTTGGCACCATGGCTCCCAGCAGATTACTTCTGTTGAACCAGGCCATAAATACAGTACAGCCCTGAGATGTACTCTTTTGATGTTTTGTTTGCTTGTTTGATCTGCAGTGGTTTATTTATATATTTTTTCTTGTAAATTGCTTTGGGTCCTTTTGGAGAAAAGTGGGATATATAGAAGATGTTGTGCATGCTCCCACCAATTAAAGGCAAACTGTGCACAGCTCACATTCATTTCAACATTTTTGGTGTTCTTGAATACAGTAGCAGCCATGAGGAGGAGGAAGAATTTGATTTATACCCCGCCCTTCACTTGGAGTCTCAGAGCAGCTTACAATCTCCATTCCTTCCTCTCCCCACCCACTGTGAGGTAGATGGGGCTGAGAGAGCTCTAAGAGAACTGTGACTGGCCCAGCTGTCTACATGTGGAGGAGTGGGGAATCAAACCTGGTTGTCCAGATTAGAGTCTGCCACTCTTAACCACTACACCAAGCTGGAAGCACTCCTTGCAGGGAGATGAAGTAGAAAGGAGGAGATGTGGCCAGGTCCTATGCAGCAGTCATCATGCCTGTTTGAGAGCTGCAAGAAACCTAGTTTGGAATTTAAATAGTACTCAGTTGCTTGATTCAATAAAGAGCCGTTGCCTTTTACTCGTCTCTTCCAGGCGACCCACCTGTCTGTTGCGTTCTTGCAAGTCAACAGCTTCAGGACAACATCAGCATTCCGAGGTGTGTGGAAAGCTTTGATAATGAAGCCAAACCCTGTCCTTGTCAGAGTGATCCTCTCCAGGTCTTCTGGGGAAACGATGGGTACCCGACTGGACATTTTTGCAACGTTTAGTAAGGAGAACTGGGGAAAAAAGAAATTTAATAAAATTATCACAGCAGCCTACGAAGATCTCCTCCTCCTCTTCTCCTTGCACACCTCCACTCAGCAGGGGAGAAAATTGCCAAAAAAGTAGCATTGTGGGCATGGCTATGGCACAACACCATTTTTGGGTATCAGGAAGATCTCCTTCTCTTCCTTGCACACCTCCACCCAGCAGGGGAGAAATTGCCAAAAAAGTAGCATTGTGGGCATGGCTATGGCACAACACCATTTTTGGGTATCATTTTGCCAATGTGACACTCTAGGCTTCGCCCAAAACTCTGGTGAAGCCACAGATTTTTGTCCAAATCCTAGAGTGTCGTGGCAGTGACATGACGTGACTTCTGAATATTCACCAGAAGTGATGTCGTGGCATTGGCACAACATCATTCATCCCTGCCCCTCCCTCTCCAGCTGGTTGCCAGCCAATAGTTGGCAACTGTGCAGCGCCCACCACAAGTTACACTGCAAGATTGACCTTCATTTCTAGTCTACCGTTTTCATCAAGACTTAAGGCAGATCACAAAATGTAAAAAGAATGCAACTGTATAATACAGCAAGAAATGCAATAAAAACTGGAGTACAAAATTAGTATATGCAGCAGAAAGCTGTATTATGTGAACAATAAAGTAGGATTATAAAACTGAAAACAATGCAACACAAGAGAACAAGTGTGGGGTAGTGGTTAAGAGTGTCGGCCTAGTGTTTGGGAGACCCAGGTTCAGATCCCCACTCATGCCAGGGAAGCTCGCTGGGTGACCTTGGGCCAGTCACTCTCTAGCCTAGCCTACCTCAGAGTTGTTGTGAGGATAAAGTGGAAGGGAGGAGAACAACATAAGCCGCTTTGGGTCCCCATTGGAGAGAAAAGCAGGGGAGGGGAAATGATTCCCTTGTCGCAACCACTTTCAGACTCTGCTTACAAGGACAATCCTGGTTGGTCTTTAGTGACAAAAATGGCATATCCCTTTTGGTTTTTTGGTTTAACTGGGGAAAAATGATTCCCTTGTCGCAACCACTTTTAGACTTCTTACAAGGACAATCCTGGTTGGTCTTAACCAGGATTAGTGACAAAAATGGCATATCCCTTTTGGTTTTTTGGTTTAACTCATCCATGTAAATGAGTGAAGCTGGAATGCTGTTAGTGGTTACAAGGGGTGTCGTCCCACTCAAACCTCTACTTAAACAACCCCCCCTCAATTTTTAAGTAAAAGTATCGGAACTGGGAGTTTGGACTGAAAAGCTGTATACAACAGCACAATAATACACTGAGGAATCTGGAAATCAAATAGCTGGAAGAATTAACTCTCCTTTATCTCTGGACCTACCTCACAAAAGGGTCTAGATGTCTTCTCTGTATAAAAGCAGGTGGGAAAATGACCCAGCAAACTACCATCAAGATGAAATGCTCACAGACTTCTCCCTGTTTTGAAAGGTTCTGGAGACCCTCTCTCTGTTAATTTGAAAGCCATGCACAAACTGGATCACAGTTCTGAACCACTCTGTCTCTGCACTTGCAAGCTGGTTAGGCAATGACTCACAGTTTCAGTAACATTTTGAGTCTGGTTTTTCTGAAGAGAATGGTGCGCTTGTGACATGCCCGTTGCTCGTTTTATATGGAATTCTTTGCTGAGGCACCATGGAATGAGCAAGCGACTGCAATCCTGGACAGCTTCCTCAACAGAAAATGAAACTGCTGTTGCTCTGGTTAAGGCTTGAAGCTGCGTACAAAGCGTAAATACTGATTTTTATATGAAAAGTAAGTCTGCATGGAGCTGAAAACTTGCATGGAACCTCACCAACAGTACAGGGAAGGCAGCTTAAGTTTCCACCTCTGATCATTTTTTCCCACTCAACTCTCTTTT